TTATGAAATGTTCCTTTAAGACAAATCCAATTCGGAAAATATGTTACAGTCTATAAAACAAAATATGCGTTGGTTGATCTAGCTTTCCATCCTTCTTTCAAAAAATATTTCCACAAATGACACAAGCCGTGGAGGGATAGTCTAGCTCTGTTGCAGAAATGTTGATTTTTCAAAAACTTTAAAATTGTAAATCATTTAAACAAAATTTATATTTTACCTTGGTATAAGCTCTTATGTTTCGGATAAGTATTGTTATGCCCATCGGATAATTTTTCAAGTTTACTGATGATCGTATAACTTCTTAATTTGCAGTTTTATACAACAAATCTTTCATGCTATGGTATAGAAAAACTGTCTACTGTTTACATACCCCAGATCTGTGTACACAGATGCCGCAACTCTCATTTATCCGATGTACTGTATGTCACTACATGATCTATACCTAACACCGATTCCCTTATGTCCCTGGTCTGTCCTTATTGCAAAGACGACGGATTACATCCCTTGCATACCACACCATTTTTTCGTCCGCACCACAAGTCACCTTTTTTTCTTACGACCACACCTTTCTTTCGTGCGGGTGTTGCTTCTGTGGTGTTAAAGTTTTGTTTATGGTTGTAACACTTATTTTTTTTAATTCATGTGGGTCTGTCCTATGATAACGATTTTTGGACCCTCCCTCCTATAAATTTTGTACATGACCTAGATTTCACTCAAATTTTCAACAAACAAATATGTATTATGTATTATTTGAGTGGTAGGTTAGGTTAAGACAATTTATGTGCCGAGCGCTGCGGTCAGGACAGACTTTCAATCTCTAAAAATATCTACAAAATTTGTTTATTAGGGTTAGGTTAGGTCAAGACACTTGCTGGGCCGCGCGCTGCGGCTAGGACAGGCTAGGGGCCACATGAACAACTTTATTTATGTGTTAAATATGAGATGCATGTACAAAATTGATGGGAGGAGGTTCAAAAATCGTTATCTAGGAAATTACCCGTCATTTTGTGTCAACTGCAATTTGTTTGAAAAATAAAACGATATTTAAGCCCAATGTAGTAAATAACGGAATTTATGTGCGACATGACTATTTTTCGTCCGGAAAAGATTTCTTATTTTACTCCAAAATTGCAACTTTTAGGTTTTAGAAAGCTGGGATTTTTAAGATTTGCTTTAGAGATTGTGAAACAAAAATGTTCATGAAATGTTTTAGGACTACTGGACCTTCATCAGATGTCTTTAAAAAAAAACAGGATAAGATATTTAAAATCATTATGAACAACATGACGCGGCTCAAAATTCTAACATAATAAATTTAAGTACAATGCCGGACGAAACAAGGTGTGGTCGGAAGAAATAATGTCGAATAGTTGAGGATGCAACGTTATTTGTGGTTGGACGAAAAAAGGACTGTTGTGCCTTCCCTCCCTCGTAGCTTGAACAACCATGGGTAGTTAATCTAATTTCAATATGATAATTTTACAAGAGGTAATTGTAACGCTTCAAGATAAATTTACAGAAAAAATAGATGTTGAGCAGATTTTTCTGTCTCAATCTTCTTATAATTAATAAAATTCTTGAAAATATTTAAAAAAAACATACTTGTTTGTTTATTTGTATGCCCAACATATTAATGAACTCTTTTATGGCACGATCAAAATCGTAGGAGCTAAGTAAATTTTTACGAGTTCAAAAGTTAAATGATCGTAATTTGTTCCCACATTTCACTGACATTTCTTTCTTTTAGGGACTTTTAATTCAAGTCAACTAACCTCTTTTTAGAACCAAACTTTTGATCTTAGTTTAAATAATAATATTATTTAATATTTTTGCAACAATTTATTTACAATGTATTCATTGATTTAAAAATGTGCACTTTTTTTAACAGGAGTTTTATCCATGCACTGCATACACATATTGTGCTGCAGGTTGCATGTACAGGGTTATCCACAAAGAATGCAACTTTAATGACGACATTTAACTCGGTAAGGTGTACAGTACTTTTTTGGATTTTGGAATCAAATGTAATCGTTTAAAAGAATCTTTTATAATTTGGCAAAGAAAGAAACAAGTTTACAGCTTCGGAATTTCAAATGGAAGAAAAAGTATAAAACAGTTTCTAAAGTCTCATACTTTGTGGTTTACCCTGTAAACTACAGTACATAGAACACTTCTCATGTACAATTCACATACATAGTGGTCTGCAGGTTTGCAGTTAGTTAGCGAAGATATCTCCCATAGTTAACCAAATGTTCTTGGCCTAAAACAGATTTTATATTCAATAGTAGAAGACGACATTGACTATATTTTCTTGGTTAATAGTAGAAAACGACATCAAATATATTTTATATTTCTACTGTAGAAGACGAAATTAAATTGATTTTATAGTTTAATAGAAGAAGACGACATTAAATAGATTTTATATTTTTACTGTAGAAGACGATATTGAATAGATCTTATATTTTAATGGTATAAGACGACATTAAATAGATCTTATATTTATAATGCAGAAGATGATACTATATAGATTTTATAGTTTAATGGCAGAAGACGACATTAAATAGATTTTATATTTTTACTGTAGAAGACGATATTGAATAGATCTTATACTTTAATGGTAGAAGACGACATTAAATAGATCTTATATTTATAATGCAGAAGATGATACTATATAGATTTTATAGTTTAATGGCAGAAGACGACATTAAATAGATTTTATATTTATAATGCAGAAGACGATATTGAATAGATTTTATATTTTAATGGTAGAAGACATTAAATATATTTTATATTTATACTGCAAAAGATGATATTTATTACAAAGAATTTATAGTTTAATGGCAGAAGACGACATTAAATAGATTTTATATTTCTACTTTAGAAGACGATATTGAATAGATTTTATATTTTAATGGTAGAAGACGACATTAAATATATTTTATATTTATACTGCAAAAGATGATATATATTACAAAGAATTTATAGTTTAATAGAAGAAGACGACATTAAATAGATTTTATATTTTAATGGTAGAAGACGACATTAGATATATTTTATATTTATACTACAAAAGATGATATTTATTACAAAGAATTTATAGTTTAATAGAAGAAGACGACATTAAATAGATTTTATATTAGTAATAGTAATAGTAATAGTAATGATATTAATCTAATACTAAGTTAGATGCTAACAGTGAGAATGATGATAACTAAACCTGAGAATTGATTAATATTAAAAGTAATAGTAATTGTTATTTTTAATTTGAATGATATTAACATCACTGTATTAAATTATAAACCATGATAATGATGATACCTGAACCTGAGAAATGATGAAAATTACAAGTAATAGCAATATTATTAGTAATTTGAATATCGATATTAATATCACTAAATTTAATGATAACAATGATAATGATGATACCTGAACTGAATGATAGAGAAACTCCTCCCCCTGCCCCTCCTTGTTGTCCAGCCAGTTCCTGGACTTACCGTAATCCACCCAGGTCCTCTTCACGTTAACTATATATCAGAATATATTAGTCTTGTCCTTCACCTAGGATGCCTCGTGCTTTGGGACCGTTTTTTGTCTATAATTTCTTTCAGAGTCAAAATTCAGCATACTATATGAAAAACAAAAGTATAGGGTTACCCACTAAGGATGAGACTGTAAAGACGACGTAAAAAATATGACGAATCCACTATTATATTAAGTCTTAATGGTTTGGGGAATCATAAATCTAAGGATTCAGACAGTATAATTATGTACGTGAGTAACTCTGTATTTTAAATTGTTTATTCTAAACATTTGTTTTTCTTAAACTATGTAAAATATTGACTCTGGTAGAAGTTATATAACGATTGTGTTCGGATCGTTTTACCACTTTTTATTTTTTAGGTTGGAAGATATTGAAAAGCTTAATAAAAGCAAACTTTGACAAAATATATTTTTGAAATCTTTGAAATTTTAAAAATATTTTCTAAAAACTATTTAACCAAGTAAAAGTAATTCCTGACAAATTCCTGAATGAGCCCCAATCCTAGAATAAAAGGGTTTTCCAAAATACTCCATACAAGTATATCATATCATCACAGAATGTCATTAATCTAATCTAATTCGTTCAAGATCATAAGGAAGAAATACATTTTTAAAAATGGAGTCACTTTATGGTTCTTTCTTTTAATCAAGAAATGTTGTAATTTTAAATTGAGAAAACCGAAATGTTTCTGTAAATATTAGAACTGGTTACAAAAACAAAACCCACTGTACAGGAGGTCATTTTACAATCAAAAGAAGGAAAAACGACGACAATCATATTGTTTTCCGGTTGACACTATAATATAAAGAATATATTAACCTGCTGAAGCATGTTCGACGAATGCTGATCCCTCTCTACTGTTGAAATACCAGACTCCATCTACGTCCTGTTCAAGCAGGAATTAAAATCATATTTCATTAATACTGACCCCTCTCTACTGTTGAAATACCAGACTCCATCTACGTTCTGTTCAAGCAGGAATTAAAATCATATTTCATTAATACTGACCCCGCTCTACTATTGAAATACCAGACTCCATCTACGTCCTGATCAAGCAGGAATTAAAATCATAATTCAATAATACTGACCCCTCTCTACTGTTGAAATACCAGACTCCATCTACGTCCTGTTCAGGCATGAATTAAAATCATATTCCAATAATACTGACCCCGCTCTACTGTTGAAATACCAGACTCCATCTAAGTCCTGTTTAAGCAGGAATTAAAATCATATTTCAATAATACTGACCCCTCTCTACTATTAAAATACCACACTCCATCTACGTCCTGTTCAAGCAGGAATTAAATTCATGTTTAAATAATGCTGACCCTCTCTACTATTGAAATACCAGACTCCATCAAAGTCCTGTTCAAGCAGGAATTAAGATCATATTTCAATAATACTGACCCTCTCTACTGTTGAAATACCAGACTCCATCTACGTTCTGTTCAAGCAGGAATTAAGATCATATTTACATAATTCTGTGCATATTATTCAACGAATTTTTTTTCGGCTTTACTATATTTTTAATCGTGAAATTTTGTCTAGTTATATTGTTGTCTGTTCCAGATTAATTAAAGGAACTGATTACAGTTATATTTATACCTTTGACATCTCAAACCAGTTCAAAGTTAAAAATAGCACAGCTTTAGGTTTTATCAAGGACTAGAAAATTAGTTCAAAATAGGAAGATTTAAAAATTCAAATGTTAAGTAAGATTTTGAAGAACAATTTTTTCCGATGAGATAATTTTCTCAGACGAAACTTTGCCTCCGTTTAATTTTAATTAAAAATAAACTAAATTTAATTTTCATTTTTCTTAATATATACTTTGCTTGTCTATCTGTCTGTCCGTTTACGTATCCAATAAACGTAAAAACAGCTAAACCGATCGGGCCAAAATTTTGTGTGGGACCTCACATGACCCCAGGGAAGGTTTATAGATTTATGGATTCTCAAAATTACAAAAATTTTTGTCCAAAAGTTCTTGATTTTTGTAAATTTTGAAAATGCGCGAAAAAAAATCTTAATTCCGCAAACTTTTTTTTGATCTTTATTTTATACTGTACAAAGAGAGAAAAATGCTCAGAGATAAAGCCACACTTAAAATTTGAATTAAAAGATGGGCGCCCTAAAATCCTAGTATAAACCATTTCTGATCCTTTCTTTTATAATTTTGTCACCTGATGCTCGGCCAATGGTTTAGTTATATGATCCCTGCTTCCAGTCAGTATATTTACAACACCAGCTGGTAGATCACTAGTCTCAAATATCTGAAATATATAATTAAATAGAAGATCTAGTTAGAAGATCAATAAACTTAATTAGAAGATCAATATATTTAATTAGAAGATCAATATATCTAGTTAGAAGATTAATATATTTAATTAGAAGATCAGTATATTTAATTAGAAGATCAATATATCTAGATAGAAGATTAATATATCTAATTAGAAGATCAATATATTTAATTAGAAGATTAATATATCTAATTAGTAGATTAATATATTTAATTAGAATATCAATATATCTAATTAGAAGATTATATGTCTAATTAGAAGATCAATATATTTAATTAGAAGATCAAAAAATTTAATTAGAAGATCAATATATTTAATTAGAAGATCAACATATCTAATTTGAAGACTAATATATTTGATTAGAAGATCAAAATATTTAAAGATCAATATATCTAATTTGAAGACTAATATATTTGATTAGAAGATCAAAATATTTAATTAGAAGATCAATATATCTAATTAGAAGATCAATATGTTTAATTAGAAGATTAATAAATATTGTTGAAGATTTACAAAATTGCTGCAAATGCTATATCCTGAAAATGGTAAGACACCAAAAAAAGTTGAGATGAATATTTTATGGTTTTTAAAGAATATTTATAATAACTAAACCTGGTATATAGACCTAAGGCAACCAGAGGATACTGCTCACTGGGAACTATCACGGTGTTAGATGTAGCAATATATACCTGACATAGACCTAAAGCAACCAGAGGATACTGCTTACTAGGAACTATCACGGTGTTAGATGTAGCAATATATACCTGACATAGACCTAAAGCAACCAGAGGATACTGCTTACTAGGAACTATCACGGTGTTAGATGTAGCAATATATAAACCTGATATAGACCTAAAGCAACCAGAGGATACTGCTCACTGGGAACTATCACGGTGTTAGATGTAGCAATATATAAACCTGATATAGACCTAAAGCAACCAGAGGATACTGCTCACTGGGAACTATCACCACTGTATTAGATCTAGCAATATATAAACCTGATATAGACCTAAAGCAACCAGAGGATACTGCTCACTGGGAACTATCACCACTGTATTAGATCTAGCAATATATACCTGATATAGACCTAAAGCAACCAGAGGATACTGCTCACTGGGAACTATCACGGTGTTAGATGTAGCAATACATACCTGATATAGACCTAATGCAACCAGAGGATACTGCTCACTGGGAACTATCACCACTGTATTAGATCTAGCAATAGCTGGAGCAAGCAGCGAAATAAAACTAGGTAAGTTTACGATTAAAGAATTCATAATTCCAAAATTTTCTTTTAAACCTCAATTTTAATCATAAAATCTCTTGTAACATTTATTATTAAACAAAGTTTTTATCTTAATTGAAATTTTTAAAAGATGTTTTCAAGATTTGCATGAAACTGTTCAGGATTTACTCGAAATTTTTAACATGTATTTTTGTGCTCAGGAGGAAAAATACAAAGTAAAAAAATCTTAAATGTTTGTAAAAAAGATCCACCATAATTGACCCCTTGACTGATTTGCCTTAAATTTTGGTTGGGTAATCATGCGGAAACGTTCTTAGACTGGTTTAAAATGTCCCAGTTAAGTGGGTTGGCTTGTACATAAACTCCATCTATAAAATAAAGCTCTTCGCTCATATACATATTTGTATGCATATTTGTTTTTTATTTATAGCTGGCCAAACGGATGAACCAAACTGGCTGTTCTTTTTTAAAGGGAACCCATGGATACCCAGCGAGTGACAAAGGCAAAAAATCGATTTTTTGTTAATAATGTTCAAAGAATAAAAACTAAACATTAACAATATTAATGAAGTCTTGTAATCTAGTTTCCTGAGGAGAGGGTTTAGATCCGGGCACACAATTCCAATAACTCCCAAGGGTTCGTGGATTTTAATCACTGATCCTTAAATACAAAAATAAGATAACGCCAATTCCAATAACTCCCAGGGGTTCGTGGATTTTGATCACTGATCCTTTAATACAAAAATAAGATAACAACAATTCCAATAACTCCAGGGGTTCGTGGATTTTGATCATTGATCCTTTAATACAAAATTAAGATAACACCTATTCCAATAACTCCCAGGGGTTCGTGGATTTTAATCACTGATCCTTTAATACAAAAATAAGATAACGCCAATTCCAATAACTCCCAGGGGTTCGTGGATTTTAATCACTGATCCTTTGATACAAAAATAAGATAACGCCAATTCTACCCTTTGGAAGAATAATATCAAAATTAAAGGTAATAATAAAAGAGCAAAAATAAATTTGGATGAAAATTAAGTGAGGAGACGAAACACAGTGCAAGAGCCATAGATTTGCCGGGGAAGACGACATTCACGGAATCTTATGTGTATTTATTGTTGTTATAAAGCAAATCGTTTTACCAGTAGCTTGCAAATCAACATATTAACAGAAATGGGTCTGTGTTACTACACAATTGCTGTCTTTCATATTCATTAGATCATAAAAAATCATAACGCATAACATAATCATAAAAGTCGTTTTCCTATACTAGTTTTATTCGTCTCACAGTAAATACAAGTTTATCTTGAAACTTGAAAAAAGTCGAATTAAAGGACTGTTTAAGTTTTCAGAATAAAATGATCAGAAATTAGACATTGAGGAAAAAATTAAGCAAAAAGGAACTGAACATTTGCTTAAAAATCGTATTTCTTATTTCCAACTTTTTGCAACCAGATGGTTATATGAGAATTAAAGAAAAAAACATTTATGTAAACGTTCAAAGCTGGGAACCTTTCTACTGGATACTCATAATCCCGATTGCTTGATCTCGATATCTGCTGTGGGAACTTTTAAACTAATCTTACTTAATCTTAAGTATCTGTACCATCCATTTTAATCCTCCCCTAATCAAAGCTCCCTTCACTTCAATCCCTGACTGGGTACGATACCCAAGCGGAATATCGAATAAAGATTTTATTAATTTGCAGATTAACAGAGTTCCCAGCTCAGTTCCTACGGAAATGAAGGATAAAGATGATGTTAAAACCGTACCGTAGAGCTGTGTTTCTTGTACTGTACCACCGTACTTATCAGCATACCCGGCCCAATAGAACAAACGTTCTATGCTTCTCTCAACTTCCTAAAAATAAAGATTAAGTATCATTATTATTATTGTTATAATTCTCAAATTATTTTAAAATTATTTAGATAAAAAATAATTCAACATAACATAACAATTCAAGTCGTCTTACTACTCTCATGTTTATTGGGACACCCTGTAGTACCTTGGTAGCAGCTTCTAGGGAAACCCCAGTCATTTCTATTAATCCGGTTACAAACTCAGCCTTCCTAATCTCTGGATAAAAAATTACATTTATTTTCTTTCTTTAACAATTTGCTCAATAAACTAGTTCTGTTGATGTCAGAAAAAAGACCAACGCTTTTGTCGAAAAAAGGCACTAATTCAATTACTTGAGAAAGCACTAAAGCATTTGTAATAAAACGCACTGACACTTTTTTAAAAATGCAACATTTTAAGGGACTTGAGTTGTTATTGCAAGTAACACTCCATTAAAAAAAGAGGTGCATGTCCGATTCATAAAGGTACCCCTAAACCTTATCTGATCAACAATTTGGAAGATGTATTTCTAGCTTGACACATATGATATCTTGATAATTTCACCCTTGTTACTGCGCAAGTCACTTTTGTAAAGAAACCACAATTAAAAAATCAGATTATTAAGAGAATAATGGATATCTTGTTCAATGTTCATACTTGGTCAGACATAGCTTTTAATTTTAATGCGGTGAATCTGACATTCACACCTTTTAGATGGTAGTTCCATTGAAATTAGGTCTACAGACTCTTTATTTGAATTTAGGTCTACAGACCCTTTAATTGAAATTAGGTCTACAGACTCTTTATTTGAATTTAGGTCTACAGACCCTTTAATTGAAATTAGGTCTACAGACCCTTTAATTGAAATTAGGTCTACAGACCCTTTAATTAAAATTAGGTCTACAGACCCTTTAATTGAAATTAGGTCTACAGACCCTTTAATTGAAATTAGGTCTACAGACCCTTTAATTGGAAAATGTTATTGCGAAGAAAACAGAAATACTTATGTGATTGTGAAAATATACATGAACACATGCGTCAAAAATCACTAACCCTTTGACAAAAAATGCAAATAAAAGCTAATGAATAAAAACAAAAATACACTAAAACTTCTGCCATAAAAAAACACAGACAATTTTGGCTAAAGAGGCTAAAAAATATGGACAATTTGATTGGAACCATAGACATGTCAAACTCATTTGATTGGAACCATAGACATGTCAAACTAATTTGATTGGAACCATAGACATGTCAAACTAATGAGAATACCTAAATTTTCAGCAATGTAGTAGAGAATTTGCTGTCGGTTAAATGGAGTTTTCTTGGCCCAGCCCGGCTGTAGAATTGGTTTGTTAAATTTTCACCAAAATCTACCATTAATATTTAATAATCAACTAAATAAGGGATTGTTCACATATTTGAATAAATCATAGAACCACAATTTTTGGAACCAACTTTGATAAAAACAAAAGGTTTTTTATAAAACGAACAATTTTTTAAACAAACTTTTGCAAAAGAAAAAACGAGAGATTTTTTACTGAACGAACGATTTTATTGAATGAACAATCTTACTGAACAATCCTTCACTGAGAAAACGAATGAAATGAGTGTTCACAAATGATGAACAAATGAAATGAAAAAAACGCTCCTATTTTTAGTTAGAACATCTTTTTTGGCCGACACAAATTCTATAAATAATTTTACACAAAGTAAAAATTATTTCACCCCTCTGGGTCATATTATAGCAGTAAGATTACCAAACCGTGTTTCTATTTAAAAAAAACCAGTTTTTTTTTTGGGTAATTTTGAATATTTTGGTGAAAAATCTGATGAAAATTTAAATCTTCAGGGCTGAGACTTGCTTTTGAAAACGTACAAAAATAAAATTAGTTTTTCGTTTAATTTTTATTTTTGAAAACTAACAAACCTTCCTTTTTAAAAAAAATGTTTTAAAAACACGAAGGATTAAAACTAAAATTAAATTAAACCTTTTAAAAACGAAGAAAGTAACGATGATATGTTAGTTTTATTTAAACAATGATCATTCTGCACATTTTTCCTTTAGTTTGTAAATATGAAAAAAAATTTCTTATTATCTTTGACTTAATGAAACGATAAGTTAGTTTTTGAAAGGTGACCAATCCATTCCTGAGCTTTTTTGGCAGCTTCAACTGCATTCCTTACATCTTTACGGTTTGATTCTCCAACCTGAGCCAGAACAGCACCCGCAGGGGACCTAGGAAGGGAAAAAACTATATAGCAAAATCATTTGATCTACAAAAGAATATAAAAAAATTTTGTAAAAAATTCATAGATTATTCTTAACCTAATAATTCTTGAATAGTTCCCATCTGGTCGCTTCTGCGCCCCTCCATAGTACAGCTTGTAGGTTCTGAAATCAAAAATACATCTTTTATAAACTCATATATAAACTCACTTTTTGAAGAAAAAATGCCCACAAAGGAGTGTAAATTAAACATGAACAGAAAGCTGCAGTTAAGAAAATGGTTCAAAATAGATTTTTACCTGTCTACTGGTGAATTAGCACCAGCTGCATTTATGCCAGTTATGGCAGGGCCAGCTGCATCATCGCTGGATCCAAACTTAAATTTTTAAAAAAGTAAAAAGAGCCCTAACAAGCTAACATAAATAAAACATCAGGATACGCATTTCATCCGGCCTGCTTTATAGTGTTGACCGCCCCATCCATGCTTTTGACCCAGAAGTGATATTCAAAAATGGCAACACCAAACTTTTTAAACATACATCTCACCTTCTTGAAATCCACATCTGGTTTAGCTACCACCTCGCAGGAAACCCAGGCAGGCTTTACATTCAATCAATCAATCAATAATACAAAATTTTATGATTAAATGATAGAACTGATTGTTCCCAAATTTTTTATAGTAACCTCTCATTACCGGCCCAGAGATAGTTTATAAGTTATAACCAGTTGCATGGGCTTTTGTCAGTTTCAAAGGGCATCCCAGCATTTGAACATATCTTTTGTCATATTTTTAAATATAAACAAAAATCCCCAAACTTGTTTTTGTGTTATTGGCTTTTTTTTACAATATGATTTGCAGATAAATCAACAACATATATGTATAAAAATTTATCAAGTATATGCTTCTAATGCTGATGTATTTATTGGAATTCCTTAGCATATTCAAAAAGCCCTTCTCGTCCTCCATCTCTCCCAAACCCAGATTGCTATTGGATAAAGTTAAGTAAAAGTTAAATTCAGAGGTTAGGTCTTAGCAGCTAGAGTTTGCCACCTAAAAAGTCCAGAGTCTAAAACTAAAGAACGAAAAGTTACGACTTAAATGTTAAGTTTCAGCTTAAATGCCACTCCTGACTTAATTTGAACCTGCATTTTAACCCTGGGTTAAAATATTTAACTTGTCGATTTCAGCAAGTTAAATTTTAAACGCAAAAATATCCGCCTTCAATTTTGCAATATTTCATGCATGAAAATAATTGTGTTTCTAATAACAAATATATATGTTCCTTTTTGCGCTGCAGTTTTGTGAAGAAATTGAAATTATGAAACCGCTGATATTGTATATTCTCTGTAGATCCGTAATCGCCTTAATTCCCGTAATCTGATTGGTTCATATTTTTCCCGGGAAATTTAAATTTTCCATTAGTTCAGGGTTAAACTTAGAAAGGTTAACATTTAAGTAGCAACTCATTATTTTTCAGAACTTTTAAGCTTTAACTTAAAAATCCCGAATTCTTTAGTTTTAGACTCAGGTTATCTTTCATAAGTTCTTTTCACAATAACTTTGTCCCTTGAATCCTCCGAACCCCGCAGCTGCATCAAACTGGTTGTGACAGTTTATCCAAACAGCACCAGCCTAAAAATTTGATCCTTTTTTTCTGTATCAGATTTTCATTTACAAAACAAGAACAAGCATTACCTGGATATGTTTAGCTGTTTCCAGAGCAAGGGTTAATTGGTCAGAATGAACACTGGCTCCAAGTCCATATAGAGTGTTATTAGCAAGTGCAATTGCCTCCTAGGTTTAAAGATACTTTAATTTCAGAAGAAAAGAACACACAAAATTGTCAAATGTTTGTCATAAATAGGAAGTTGAAATCTGAAAAAATATTTCATTCACGGTGAAGCACATTTCTTAATTAGTAACCTTTGCTGTTCTGAAGGGAAGTGCAACAAGAACAGGACCAAATATTTCCTCCATAACAACTCTACTTGCAGAATTCACCCCTGAAAATTCGGACAAATTTCTTTACTTCTTTTTATTATAAGCTTCAAGGTTCTTCATTTTTTTATATTGATCTTTTAACATTTTAATAACTTCAGTTAAAAAATTTGTTTCCTGTGATAAGGGTTGGGGGGTAAAAGCAGCCAGGGGGAGCTTCTGTCTGAAAAACATCAGCTCCTTCTAATCTGGCATCTTCTACATACTCTGCTATTGACTGCAGAGGATTAATGAAAAGTTAATGATTGATATCTGAAGGAAGTTTCCATATCTTCTTTCAAGTATTAGTATTTACTTAATTAAACATTTTTTTGTTTCATTTTTTCCTTTCTTTGAGATTCATCCACAATTGCTGCCATATCCACAGTCTTATCCATACTGTTTCCAATTCTTAAGAAACATCATTATTAAATATATAATATGACAACAAACAGAAATACCTGAATTTTGAAAGTCTTGTTTTGAGCTTTGATATAAATACATCAAAAACTGGTTCTTGGACAAGCAGCTTTGACCCAGCAGAACAGACCTGGCCCTGATTGAACCAGATGGCATCAACTACACTCTCAACTAAAAATAATTAATGGTCATGTTTTTTAAGAGGGTTTTATGAACTTTTTTTATGAGCTTTTTCCATAAATATAATTTCTTATTATAAATTAATCAGCCAGTTTGCAAGTAATTTCTTGCCATATAAATTTGTCTGTTCTCTCTTTCTGTCAAAAAGGGTTTATCTAAATTGCGATGTTCACTCCACGTTAATGCTTTTTTATCAATAATGCTTCACAATTTATCAATAAGTTGATCAGAAATTCCAGCCAGCGGTGTATGGAGGAATTTGTCCAAGGACAGGGGGCATAATCTTTTTATATTTTTATCTCTCCTCCCCTCCTACAACCTTATCAATCAAAGGTCAAGAAAGGAAATAGTTTCCGTATAAGATAGTTAAGATTACCTGCTGAATCTAAGTCCGCATTGTGATAAACCACAACAGGAGATTTGCCTCCAAGCTCAAGAGAAATTTTCTTTCCTGTGCCAGCTATGGCCATCCTTAATACCTTCCCAATCTCTGTTGATCCTGAATATTAACATGTTAAGATAAATCATTACCTAATTTACAAAAACTTGGGAGTGGAGTACAAGTTTTACAAGCTAAAGTTTAACCTGTAAATGCAACTTTATCCACAAGACTGTGTTCAGCTAAAAGTTGACCCATAGCACCACCACCTGTCACCACATTGAAGACACCAGCAGGAAGACCGGCTTCTGCACAGATCTAACACAATTTTTTAACTTAAACCCTATCTTTGGTTCACATTTTTGATAAGATAATCATACAAGGTCAGAACTTGAAATTGGAGAAACTCTAAATCCAAAGACTTACAGTTTTGCAATCTCTAATTGGCCAAATTCAAATGTTTTTGTGGCTTTCAATTGCTTGGACCTTTCCAAGATAGTTAATAGGAACATATTCAATCTATTGGAAGGGATAAATATAATGAGAGGGGAAATTTAAGTCCAATTAACATGACTGAACTGTTGAAAAGATATAAATCATCCAGAAAATCACCTCAGCAAAAAGTAGAGCAGAGAGCCTAGTGTAAGTTGCAGGCTTGAGCAAAACAGTATTTCCCATTGCTAAAGCTGGAGCAACCTATTTAAAAAACAATTTGTATTTTGTGAGTGTACAGGGCCCATGGAAGTTCATTGGAACGTAAATAGATGGGAGCTTAAGTCAAACTTCAAAGGATAGAAGGTTGATCATTATCATTATTGAAATAAGTAATATAATTGACATTTATAGATACCTTCCAAGTAAGAAGCATAAGAGGAAAATTCCAGGGAACAATGGCTCCAATAACACCAACACTCTCCCATCCTGGCAAAGTCTCCTGAATATGACATAGATCCAAGCCATTTCTAAAATGATACTGTATCTATAAGAATGTCATCCTGGATAGATCATCAAGACAAAAAAATAATAAGAAGTTACAAATCCAACCTTTGTACTGGTTTNGCCACACTCCCCACAATCCTCTGTCTCCTTCTGGAGAACATTGATCACAGAGTAAGCATGCATTACATGTGCCATGATGCTATTATGCAATTCAGAAGTATGCCCGTAACCAGGATTTTCCCAAGGGTGTGCAAAGAAGGATGTTGTAGTATGGACCCAGGAGCACAGAGTAAAACGTAGTGATTGAGGTCAGAGGATGCAGGGGGGTCAGAATTTTGGTATAATATTGAGTAATTCTAACTTGAATTTGATGTTATGTAGGAAATTTTCTAATTTGTCAACAACACTAGTAATTTAGGCTTGAACTTTATGTTACAGTGAAAATTCAGTTTTACCTGAATTTGATGTTTTGTATGACACAAGGAAAATTTTCATAATTTAGTTTTTAGTTAAAATTTTACAATATTGGAGAACAGAAAATGTTAATAATTTGATATTACTTCTCACGTTCACTGATTTTGAACTGTCTGGACAAAATATTGAAACTGAGGCAATTTAAGTTATAGCAAAATTTAAATAATGGAATTTTATTATACACACGGGAACATATTTACTACATTTTATGTATGTATATCTTCATATTAGAAAGAACAATAAACCAGTTCGATCAGAAAATTGTTCCTCAGGACAAATATTTTATAAAGATGGTTTAATTTGGTTGGTCCGAGGAAACAGCTTTAGTAAAGAATTGTTTAGGCATAACTATAGCATAAAAACAATATGAGCGAGGGAAGGCACACCATAATGACGTCACATCTGACCATTATTTCTTCTGACCACTCCTTTTTTGTGTGACCAATGCTTCTGTTTTTTCGAATGTATTATTTTATGCCTTTAACCCTTTTTTTTCAATTCTAAAATACGTCCCAAAATGATGTTTTCTTATCTTAAGAGATTTTTAGGATCTACAACTAAAAATTGACATTTTTTAGTAGGGAACATAACAATTGGTTTTAATTTTCTTGAGGGTTTGTGAAACAAAGATTTGCATGAATTGTTTTATGCCTATTGTTACCTTCAAAAGATGTTATTCTTTAAACAAAAAAACAGGATAAAATAGTTTCAACTATTATAAACAATATGACATGGCTCAAAATTATATCATAACAATTTAACAATTGTAAAAAATGCAGAACGAAGAAAAGGTGTGGTCGGAAGAAATAATGGTGAGTTGTGAGGTAATTTGTGGTCAAACAAATTTGTGCCTTCCATCCCTCTCAATACAGTATACAGGCCACAGGTTCAAGAAGGCGAGAGATCATTGAAATGTATATTCCTCCAGTCTATATTTCTCCTTGAAATATTATGCTTGGGACCTTTGTAATTTTTTATCTGTAGATTCCATACCTCCATCATCTGTGCCCAGCCTGCATAGTAGTAAAGATGTCTGATCACCACCGGAATATCTGCATCTCTAGTCTCCCTTCACAAAAGTCTAATCTTAGGAATTTTTTACTTTATTCTCCATATTGACTATATGGACAGACCTCTTTATATCAAAAATCATTTATTTGTAACTTGAGATTTGCTGAAGAAGTGGCATTTTTGGTTTAGCATAAAACAAAATAATGCTTCTGAGAAAGAAGAGGTAGATGCCTTACTTAATTTAGATAAGATTTATTGAAGTTCTTGAACCACATAGATAAAGTTGAATCACTTTTCTAGTCCCCCCTTCTATGTTGAAGAGAAGTGGTTAAACTTTATCTATTAGGTTTAACTTCTTCTCACTGTTTAATGAATCTGGTTAACAGCATATTTTTCAGACCAATTTCATCGGGTTAAAATGATTATACTAGAAAGATTTAGCCTAGGGCTGGGTACGTTTTGTTAACGGTATTTTCCGTTTTTTTTTTCTTTAACGGTTTGTCAAAACGTTAACAGTGCAAGCCGTTAACATTTGTTGTAGTATATTAACGTTGTTAACGGTTTGCCAAAATTTCCATTAAGAAAGAGTTGACAGTTTCTCAAATTGGATTTACAGCACAAGAAGTTACCAAATTGCAAAAAAATCTTGAAAAGTTTCATCATATAAAAAGGGGGGGGGGGCTGAAGGCGACGTTAAAAAACATCAAAATACATAAAACATTTTAAAAAATATTTCATGCAATTTTAGCCGAAATTTTTTTTATAAACCCATTCTTTTCGTTTTCGTTTTCAACTGTTTTCTTTTTCAAAAACGGCTAATCCGTTTAAAAATTAATGCTTTTTGCAATTTTCCAACAGACTTTTCTGTTAGGTTTCGAAAACCTCTGTTTCATTAACGAAACTTTGCCCAGCCCTAATTTAACCTGATTGATTTCCCATTGTCCAGAGCCTCAACAACAGCAATAAGCCTTGAATGTTTCTGCACATGCCGAGCAACACTGTACAGATGCTTAGCCCGCTCATATCCACTTAAAGAATCTGATTTTAAGGTACTGTAGACGTAATCTCAAGTAATTCTTTGTTTACAAGGTGACATGCCAGATTCACAATGATACACTTAAAAGCTTTGTCTGATCAAATATCAATTCGACTTCTAGGGGCCAGGTCTATCTTAATCTTAACATATAATTATAAAATATTTAAGTTTTGCCTCTGAATACCTGAGTTTGCTCCAGCTCTTGTGAGCTTCCTTTGCAGCTCTGACAGCTGTGTCCACATCCTCAGCAGTTCCCTGAATGAAGGTACAGTATACAATACATTATATAGATGGTGTCAGGTTTTTACCAAAAACCATTTTCCCAAGTGACATTTCCCAAGCGGTAAGACAAGTTTAGGTAAAGCTTTCTTCTGAGAGCGTGGCTAAGTCGGGTTATTGAATGATTCTAAAGATGATTTTTTATCCTTTTCTCTCTCTTATTCTAACTTGACAATAATACGTTCATCCTTTCCAAAATGTCGTCTTCATTCCTATTTAACATTTTTATCCACTAAATCACTTATTCTCTGATAGTTTTATACACAAGTATTTTATTCTATTTGTATCTTTATACAAAATTTTAAATTTTTTGCTTATTCTCTTTCAATACAGTGGTTCTCAAAAAACATCTATTTCTTTGCCCAATCTTTCCAATCACTCTAACTACCAATATAACAACCCTTATTTTCATCCTAGCTCTCATTGATTCCTAATACCTAATCTTCCAATCCCAAATTTCTCTACAGCTGATTTCCATCCCAATCCCAACTTCCTCTTTAGTTTATATCCTTTCCAATTCTCAACCTTTTTTACCTACTCCCAATTGGTTATATCTCATTCATATACCTTATTCCCAAACCAAGCCTAATCCCAATATCTTGAACATTAGTTGATAATCGTTTGGGATCCCAATAGTTTGGATTTTATGTAAAAGTTACGACACTATAAACTTTTTAATCATGCTTCATTTATGACAAATGACAATGGACAAGAAAATATGAATTTTAGAAGTATTAGAAAGAAATAAGCCTCTGCAAAAAACCAGCCTGTGTGAATATTTTGCGCAGTATTATGCTGCCTAGCAGGCTAGACACAGTCACTATAGAACCAGTAAAGAGGAAGTATTCAAGATGTGACTCCTACAAAGAAGAAAAGAACTGTTCGACTCGCGTACCACCCTCGCGGTCAAAGCGAGTGCAAAGAACCCTATATTCTTTATGTGACCAGATCTGATCAATATACTTCTTTAATTTGCAACCACATCGATTCATTAGAGAGAGAGAACAACATATTGCTGGTTAAAGATTAAGAAGACTTTTTATATTCTTATATATCCTACCATCTCAAGCTACCCTCCCCAACTCAACTTCCAAATACTTCCTCTCCAAATTATCTCTCTTTTTCTGAGACATGGCTGCCAGGATGGGCTAGGGGGCTGAGTGCTGCTGTTGGATGGGCTAGGGGACTAAGCACTGCGACTTGAACAGGCAAGGTGGCCGAGTGCTGCGGCTAGGACAGACTTGAGAAGATACAGGTTGAGAAATTGCACAGTTGGGAAGTTGCAACTTGGGAAAATACCATTGGGAAGTTTCCACTTGGAAAAAAGCCTCTGGGAAAGTACCTAACATCGATACATAGACATTATTATTCACAACAAATTATTGTAATAGTTTTGATCCCAAACAAATTTGCAAATACAAAGATGTCCCTGAGGGTCAGATTGGAAAGATATTTTCTGTCAAAAGTTACTTTTCAGTATTTTCAAGAGAACCCAATTTTTAACATTTTTGTAAATTTTTCAATTTTATTTTAAATAAGATAAGATATTTAATTGCCTATAAAAAGATCTAGATATGATATGATTTTAGTTGAAACTGTGCAATCATATTACAATCATATTGCCATCATATTGGACTGTTCATTGGAAGTTTTAATATTTTTAAATTCTTGAATTAAGTAAAAAGTAGGTTCAGGTGTGAAGTTTTGTTTATCATTTGTTCAGAAACGACTGTACGAAATTATGCTGACTGTTCCCGGCAACTCTAAACATATTTTTTTCTTTTCACATCAATTCAGAAGCTTTTGAAGAACTATATTCAAGGCAGAAAACTCATTTTAATCTAAGGATTATTATATTTTAAGTGTTTTAGGTCGTCTTTACCTTTACAGTCTTACTCGTTAATGGGTATTATACATAGAAGGGTAAGTTATCGCTATAAAAAAGTAACATTTTAAAAACATAATTTCATACCTGAGTGGTGCTAGCCAGAGTTTTTCCATTGCTAGGATTCTAAAAATTTTAATTGTTAGAATAATAATGATTTGTTGATTTTAAAATGACTGAAGAGTGAAGACGTTTTTGCATTTAAAAAAAATGGCTTTTCCATATTTACAACGGTACCCTAAAATGTTTTGTATGATCAAAAATAAACAAGATTTCCATGTTTTTTACTTTGAAAATTTGTTTAACTGTAGGTAATATGCGGACTTCTGCTGCATTAACAATAGAGGGCATTTTTTAGAATAAAACAATTTTCAATATAGAAAATCTTCCCGCACATTATTGATAAGATAAACGTTTAGAGGGTACGGTTGTGAATTTAAAATGCTTATTAAAATGGAGGGTCTCTCAAATAAAAAACAGTCTTTTGCGATTAACAAAAATCATATTATTAACCAACCCAAATAGTTAAGCCTAAGGAAAAACAGGAAGCAAGGTCAGCCCGCGTAAAATAAGTGTTCACTATGGTTTGCAGGGTTACCCATGGTCAAGTTTTTAAGACAATGGCGCAACACAAAAAGTTGGGGTACATGACTTTTAACTGATCTTGAGCAGAACAAAATAATAGAAAGACTTTGATAACAAACTGGAAATAAATTTATTGATATATCGTTTTATTTGTATGCGTGACCTTGTGCCCACACCCCTAATCCAAAAATACATTAAAAATAGAAAATACTGATTTATTTTACCTTGGTTGCGTAAAGATTTCTTCCCTCCGGATGAACCCAGGTATTATTAATGAACAGACCAAACTTCCTGAACCCAGGACATAATAATTTCTTTAAAATATATTTACTGAACAGTGAACAGGCCCAATTATCTTCTGTCTACATATAATAAAACAAGACATTCATACATATATATGTATAAAAGTTGAGTATATACAGCCAAACGGCTGGACCGAATGGGCTGAAACTTTGTGTGGACTCTCATTGGTGGCCGTGGGGTGTTTTAGGCTAAAGAAAATTCAAAAATTTTCTTTTCTTAAAATTTTTTTCTTTCAAAATTCTTTTTTAAAAGTTTTTTTTTCCATGGGCAGCGCCGGGTCCTTCAGCTAGTATATAATAAAGCTCTTCGCTCATATATGTATATTTGTATATATATTGGCTATAGCTGGCCAAACGGCTGGACCAAATTGGCTGTTTTTTAGGGAACCCTTAAGTACCCAAAAGGTAACATAGGTTAAACAAATGTCAATAAAAAAGCACCCTGTGTCCATGGCATCAAATCTCTTCCCTGCGACAGTTAATTCACCTTCACCTAGGTGTTTTAACCATTTCAGCACAAAATTAGACATAAATAGTTTTAAAAGTATTTAGATTATTAGTTTACATAAATAAATGCACATTTAGCTCTAAAACGTTTTTTTGAAGGGAGAAAACGCAAAGAAGTCATTTCCTCCCAAATGTCGTCTTTCTTTCAAATTATCAAATTATCATTATTCTTCTTACTGCGTTTGGCCAATCAAAATACATTAATAAATATCGGCAAGTGTCACAACATTGGGTTTGATGTCTAGAATTGTGTTGAAAGGGAAGTGAACCATCGCAGGATTGTGTCTCCATGTATGACACCAGAGGTAGAAACTTGTATATGAGCTAGCTCAAATCTGCGAGGCAGAAACTTTAATTTGAAGTACAAAGTTAATATCGGTAAGACCTGAAATAGTTCTGACATGTAATTGCACCATATCTGTTGTACTAAAAAAGTACACAGTTGTGCTTTCTGATTTCTGAATGTTACACAAGTTCAAAAAGTTTTCCAGCATTTTTTAAGCTTTAATTTGTGAAAAATTTTATTTTGAGTTCTTTACATTATTAGAATAAAATAAAATTGTTACTACAATTAACTAAATAAATGGTTAATTCTGGTTAATTCGATTCCCTTTTTTAATAAACAAAATCCATTTAAACAAAATTTTTCCTGTCATGCTCATCCAGCCATTTCTCAGCAACCTTAACAAAAATATGATAATCTTCTTACGATAATTGGTACATGTAACATTATCCAAATAAATGAACAATCCCTTAATTTTAAATATATTCGTACTTTATCTGACTCCGATGCAGGTCCATACTCCATGTTGTTGAAAATATCGCTAACAGATGGTGTTGTCGTCTTCAACATTGATTCCATTGCATAACTGAAAAATCTATATAAAATGTAACCTCAGTACTCCTTTTGTAGTACTCCCCTGCCTTCTTTCCCCCTGTGCTACCCAATATAATTAGTACTCCCCGCCCTCTAACCCCCTCCTCCAATCCCAAGTACTCCCCTGCCCTCTAACTCCTCTGATCCAAAGTACTCTCCTCCAAATATTTTTGACCATGTAAAACTAAAATGTTAAAATTTATATAAAAAACTGAATTTCAACTTTTTACACACACTATTTCATTTTAGATAAATATTTTATCAGTTTTAAAACATCTTGCCCCCCCCCCTCACTTAAATCCTGTATCCGCCCCTGTAAAGGTACACTATACACTATACACTATGTTACCATACTTAATATCTTTATATCTCAAACAAACAAAACTAGCAGAAAAAACAGCAAAAACAAACAAAACTAGCCGAAAAAAACAGCAAATTTATGTTTTAATACTCTTCACTCTTCGGTTTCAGATTTGAAAAGTGTGATAGCTCTGAGTACTAGGGGGGGCTATGCCCCTTTTACTGGTATAGGTAGGGGCACTACCCCCTTGCCCCCCATAAATAAAAGTTTGTTTTAAAAAATGATACATTTAACGATCGATTAAAGTCGTGATGTTTTTTAATAAATTTGAAAGGGTTGAATTAATTGAATTCGTTGTAATCTGTTTGAAATATCTTAATCTAAAACCTCGTTGTCTGATATTTTATAACTTTGTCACAATTCGTTCATTAATACTTAGCTGCTTTGTGCGTATTCTCAATGTAAATTCCTCTCTGAATTGAAACAATTCAATCTGTTTTCCCGTCTCTTATTGGCTCAGAGAAAATTAAAGATAAACATTTATTGCGGAAGTTGTGGCAAGAAATAACGGAGTAAAATAGAAATAATTATCTAATTTCAACGACTTTAATTTTTAACTGAATCATGAAATGGCAACAAGGGGGAGGGGTCGAGGGGTGGCGCCCCATAAAAGTTAAAGAAAGAATGTTTTAAGATTTATTTCATTTTACATAAATGTTAAACTCGATTCTTGCAATAATGCAATTCCTGTTTTAACATTACCATACATAATAACTAATAAGATTAATAAGGGTTATTTTATATAATTTTTCCTGTACATCTCGGAGCTTAATGTAGTAAATGATAAGCAAGCAAAGATAATATATATATATATATTTTTTTGTCGTTTTTGTTCCTTGAAAAAGTTATCGTAAATGTGTGTCATTTCCAAAACGTGGTTGGAAATGACGCAGTCAAATGTAGTTCAAAGTAAATGACCATTTTTACTGAATTTGCCCTGATTCTAGAACGAGGCATGATCAAAATCGTTAACGTTCTCTATCCTTCACTAACAACGCAAAGAACGGAACGGGGATGAAACAATTGGAAAAAGAACGATCCAGCAAAAGGTTCTCGTTCTAGAGCTCGAGGAACGAACGATACTTTATGCTCCTACTAATGGGATTAAAAATCCTGAAATCTTAATATTATCTCTTATATAAAGTAAGTCATTTCTCCTTTTTATTTGGATCTGGGAAGTTGGTTTGAAAAGTTAAAGGCTGAAACCTGAGAATCTCAGGAGTTAATTGAGACATATAAGAGTTCTGTCTGATGTTGCTGTATCGAGAAATTGATATAAAACTGTTTCAAAATTATACCAAAACGTATATATGTAAGATTTTGTATGTACAATTCGTAGTATTAAACAGATCATATTCAACAAATTCGCAACCAATCTGAAAACAACTATATCCCAGAGGAGCCTGAGAAATTCAAGTTTGCTCCTATTATTATTAGAATTTAATAATTTTTCATTTCTAATAGCTTTAACTGATAATATTATCTATGCGTCCGGAACATGTCACAAGAACTCCAACCAGTGGCAGTGATTATTGTCATGTGTCTCCATCTGTATAACGTGACAACTATACGTCACTGCCATTGGAGGGAGCTCTGGTCACGTGATACGGACGTATATCTTACATATATACGTTTTGGTATAATTTTGACACAGTTTTAAGCCAATTTCTAGAGACAGGAACATCAGATAGATGTCTTATGGGTATCGTTCAACTCCTGAGATTCTCAGGTTTCAGCCTGTACTCCCTTTCATTTTTCCTTTACAGTCCCTTTAAGAAGATTGACTATTAAAACAAAATCTCCCGGCAATACAGGGTTACTCACAAAGATTGAGACTTCCGAGAAAGATGCAGCTCTACGAAATTTAAAAAGTCTATTTGCGCTTATGTTACTATTCCCTGCAACCTAGTTAACTTGTTTCTTTTTTAGCCTTATCATTAAATAAGCAATTTAAAAAACATATTTCAGACATAAAATTTATTCAACCTTGAGATCGTCATATTTATCCAGGTCGTATTAACAGTCTCATTCTTTGTGGGTAACCCTGTATTTCCCCTTTCCAAACAATGACCAATCACTTTGGTTGAGAAATGGTAATTACAGATTGGATAGCTATGTAATTGACACAATGTGCAATAAGGACTTGATCTGTTTGGGGAATGTTGCCAATATTGGCTGATAGGGTAAAATCATATTTTATGTACAGTAAGAACCAGAAAACTGTGGAATAGGAAGACGACAATAAAGCCTGAAGGTGTTTTTTGATGTTGTTACAAGGCAAATAGTTTAGTTACTGTAGTTATAATCAGAAAGACTTGGAATTAACGCAGTTAGTCAGGCGACTTCACATATATATATATCTGGTAATTTTAAATGCTCAAAAAAAGGCAGACCACATTTTAGAAATGACAGGACTAGGGCTATTTGTGATTATCTTTTCATCAATCATATTTGTAAAATTAGATTGTAAAATAGACTGAAAATTCTAATTTAATTCAGGGTCTTTTTGATTAGGGCTGTACAGTAACTTTTTACCTCACCTTTTAACTAACATGGAAACGTTTACATTCTTCAGTCTTCCTATTCCACATTTTTCTGGTTCCAACTGTATATCATAGATAATCTTCCTATTCCAGAGTTTTCTGCTTAGCACTGTATATCATATATAATCTTCCTATTCCAGAGTTTTCTGCTTCTAACTGTATATCATAGATAATCTTCCTATTCCGGAGTTTTCTGGTTCTAACTGTTTATCATATATAATCTTCCTATTCCAGAGTTTTCTGGTTCTAACTGTTTATCATATATAATCTTCCTATTCCAGAGTTTTCTGGTTCTAACTGTATATAATATATAATCTTCCTATTCCAGAGTTTTCTGCTTCTAACTATATATCATTTATAAGCTTCCTATTCCAGAGTTTTCTGCTTCTAACTGTATATCATATATAATCTTTCTATTCAAGAGCTTTCTGCTTCTAACTGTATATCTGTAACTGTATTATACAGGGTGTATTTTATGTATGCATGTACTAGTACTATACAGGGTGTATTTTATGTATGCATGTACTAGTACTATACAGGGTGTATTTTATGTATGTATGTACCAGTATTATACAGGGTGTATTTTATGTATGCATGTACTAGTATTATACAGGGTGTATTTTATGTATGCATGTACCAGAATTATACAGGGTGTATTTTATGTATGTATGCACTTGTACTATACAGGGTGTATTTTATGTATGCATGTACCAGTATTATACAGGGTGTATTTTATGTATGTATGCACTTGTACTATACAGGGTGTATTTTATGTATGCATGTACTAGTATTATACAGGGTGTATTTTATGTATGCTTGTACTTGTACTATACAGGGTGTATTTTATGTATGAATGCACTAGTATTATACCTGTGGTGTATTTTATGTATGTATGTACTAGTATTATACAGGGTGTATTTTATGTATGAATGTTCTAGTATTATACAGGGTGTATTTTATGTATGAATGTACTAGTATTATACAGGGTGTATTTTATGTATGAATGTACTAGTACTATACAGGGTGTATTTTATGTATGAATGTACTAGTATTATACAGGGTGTATTTTATGTATGTATGTACTAGTACTATACAGGGTGTATTTTATGTATGTATGTACTAGTATTATACAGGGTGTATTTTATGTATGTATGTACTAGTATTATACAGGGTGTATTTTATGTATGTATGTACTAGTATTATACAGGGTGTATTTTATGTATGTATGTACTAGTATTATACAGGGTGTATTTTATGTATG